CCTGCCAGCGCTGCAGAGACCCCAGCAAGCCCAGCTGAGCTGAGCTGAGCTGAGCTGCCCTGCCGAGCTGAGCTGAGCTGAGCTGCCCTGCCCTGCTGAGCTGAGCTGAGCTGCCCTGCTGCTCTTCTGCTCCCCACTGCCACCCGAGGCACACACACACACACCCCCCACCTCTGCTGGCTGCTGCACTGTGACACTGCTCTGGGAGCCAGGTGCTGCCAAGCCATACCCTGCCCCTATGACAGCAACTCCCCAGCTTCTGTGACCTCTGGAGTCTAGAGCTAGGGGCAGGGAGATAACACAAACGTGATTTAGAAGGAAGTGAAGTCCACATCTCCAGCAGACCTCCCAGATTTCCTGAGATACAGCTGACTGATCTCCTGAACTGACACAGAGAAGAAACTTATATTTGGGAAGCTCCTAGCTTTGAACACACTGGATTTCACCAGTGGCATTATTTAATGTCACCAGGGACACGAATGTTACGTCCCCAAAATGTCTGTTTGCATATTTAACCAACTGAAAGGATAAACACTTAAGAATGACAGAATATACCCGAGTTACACAGGGACAGGCTCTGCCAGCAGAGCCAGGGGAGCTGTGGGGTTTTGTGCTGGCAGTGGGGGGGTGTCCCCCCTTCCTTCACTAACAGCAATCCAGGATCAGAGGTTTCTCCTAGGCAAGGGGAAAACCATCAGCATAAAAGTTTTGTTGACTTCTTTGTCCCAATAAACCTCTCAAACTAAAACATCTCTCCTGCTTTGACAGGCAGGTCTCAAAACTAGTTTTAAAAGAGCCAAGGACATAGGCATACACAGAGTCTGTCTAAAATTCAAATTACTCACTACTGTTGACTATAGTTGATTAATTATAATCAACACCACCCACACACAAACTAAGCCCTGATCATGATAGTCAGGGAATGCAAAACCCCAATCCCACCAAAACACTCCCACAGCCTTGCAAAGCACTGGAACTCACTACACTTGTGTCTCCTCCACAAACCACACTCCAGACTTCAGTCCTACTGTTTCCAATAACACTGGTTATAACCAGTTTCTAAGCAAGAATACAAACACTGTGGGGCTGAGACAAAAAGAAAACAAAAAGAAAAAAAAACAACCCCCAAACCCCACATGCAGCCAACAAGGCTGCCAGGAGGGGCAGCAGGTCTCAAGCACACCCAGCCCCTGCAGAGCTCACAGAACTGCACCTCACACAGCCCACACAGCAAGAGTGCTTTGAATCAAAGGCCCCTGTAGTGCTCCACCTTTGGAGGACAGGTATGAAGTCACACCTCTTTTAAAAAACAAACACACACACACAAAACCCCACACCCACAAACAACTGGATGTCCCTCTAGCCCTTTTCTTATTTTTTTCTTTTCACTTTTCTTTTTACCTCATTCGAAGGTCATCATCTTCTGCACCCCAGCCCCAGTAGTTGTTAGAGAATCCATTCACCTTGGAAAACTGATCTTTTGTCAGAGCAGTTACACCTCCAAAATACCCCTGGTACCGTAACCTAGAAGTACACAGGAAGAGAGAACAAAGAATTAAAAGTCAGATTCTACCCACAATTAAGGTATCACCTTGAAACTCCGGATCTAGACTGGTTTTTCCAGTTAAGACACACAAATCCATGAGCTGGGTCTTGTTCCTCTTTCCACAAAAGCTGGGGATTGCTTTAGGCCAGAAAACGTTTGTTCTCAGCCCGAGCCCAGGGAGCCTCCTTCAGGTGTTCCCTTCTCCACACAAGTCCCCCCCTGGCCAGGAGGGCACGTCAGGATCCAAGCCCCCAAGGACCCTGCTGCATGGAAAAGGAACAATGCTGTGTCCAACACAGCAGAAACTCTGCACAACGACAGCAAAGCAGCAGCTCCCCTCCCCTCTGAAAGGCCTGGAGGGCACCAGGGGGCACGGCTGGGGTGCTGCAGGACCAGCTCCAGGGGAGGCAGGGGCAAGTCCCCTACGAACCCCATGGAATGGCACCCAGCTCCAGGGGAGGCACCTGCATTAGGCAGCACCTTGTGAGTCTCTGCATGACACCTGACTCTGCTTCCACTTCTTCCATGCTTCCTTTTTCTGCTTCAGTTTCTTGAGGAGCTCCTTGTTCATCCACACAAGCTTCTGCCCACCTTCACCTGACCTCCTCCACACTGGAATGGACCGTTCCTGAGCCTGAAGGAGCCAAACCCTGAAGATCTAACACATCTCCTGAACCCTTCTTCTCTCCAGGGTGACCTCCCAAGTGATTCTTCCAAGCAGATTCCTTAACAGGAATTCCATGTTTGTCATCCTGCTCTTTGCCTCATTCCCCTCCTTGTCTCTGACCTTCACATCCCTGACCAGCTTCCCCGTGTTTGTCAGTGTAAAGTCCACCTCCCTCCCTCAGCTCTGAGCACCCATGTCAGGAAGGCATCAATTCACCTCAGAAATCTCCTGAGTTCTTGTGCCCTGTTGTGCTGCCCCCCCAGCAGGTACCAGGACGATTAAAGTCTCCCACATGGACCAGGCCAGGCTGAGTGCTCCAAAAGCCTGGCATGAGCCTCGTTCATTTCTGCTTCTTCCAGTCTTTACTGTGTGACTGGAACCTGAATATTATTCTGTATGAGAACTTGCACATCTCTTCTATGTCTCATGTATTTAACAGAGGAAACCCAAAAGTGAAGAACTTTACTTCAAAAGACTTTGGGATCAGCTTTTGAAAAGCACTTCCAATTAATATTTAAAGTGACATAACGTAAGAGGAGAATCTTGGAAGAAACAAGTTCAGTGAAAACACTCCAGGCATCACATTCACCAGGCTCAGGAGCCTTTTCTTCTCTCTGAGGTGGACTGAACCTGACTTTTCACTTTATTTATCTCACACTGGCACTTAGGGGACCCATTTAAAAAGCAGAATGATCCTGTACTAGACACTGTCCAGTCAGATAAAGAACAACCCTATCCCTAAGCAACTTCTCACACCTGAACTCTCAGTATCAGACATTTCCTCCTCAACAGTAAAAGGTAAGTAGCAAGTTTTATTCTAGTAATATCACACCTTCAAAATTCACAGGAGCAGGAGGCTGCAAGTGCATTTCTAGCTTTGACAGGTCCCTGCACAACCTCTGTCATGTTGCTTTCCTCTCAGAACATCCTTTACCTCACCCCAGAAACCAAAGTGATGACAATGTTTGTTTGTACAGGTGACCACGGGGCTGGCTTCAGAGATCTCTGCACAGTTCCCTTTTCTCAGAAGGCACTCCAGAGGTGAAGTGTTACCACCAGAAACCTGGTGTCAGGAGGAAGGGCAGATACCAGCACACAGCTCCATCAGAAGAGGAACACTATCAGTAACATGGCATTTCCCAGTTGGTATTCTTCCCATACTCCTGGTTTCCTACCTGTATCCAGTATTGTTCCTGCCAACTACAAGGTGCTTTGGTTGTCTGTCACACATGTAAAGGTTATAGTCATTTTCTGGCACCAGATCCACATCATGGAAAATGAAACAGTCCCAGTTTGCTTCTTTTAGGGCCTCTAGGTATCCTACATTCATCAGTTTAGCTCGATTAAATTTGGTGCTGCCAGCCTGTGGAAGAGAATGGAAAAAACTTCTGAAGAAGGTGTCAAACCCTCTGAACCAGAACTGCTCCTGGGCATCTCCCCTGAGAGCAACCAGGCTCCTGTGCCACAGCCTCCACTGCTGTAACTGCACAAAGAGCCACCCCACAACAGCAGCAGGGTGCCCAATGGTGCAGGGTGCTCCTCCAGTCCCTACTTGTCACGACCCACCACAGCTGGGCCCAGCAGAGCCCACAGTCACCCTGGCACAAACACACCCGTGCTGCTCCAGCAGTCACAGCCCTGCTGCTGCTGCTGCTGCTGCCCGGGGGCTCTCGGCACAACGGGGGCACCCCAAGCAGTTTAGGACCTGGCACTGCACACAGCTGTCTCAGTAAGGCTTACCCAAGGTGTTTGTTTGAACCCAAAACCAAACCCTGAGAGCCCCCAGCCCCACCCTGGTGGGCT